CTGTTTTAGCTAAATGATAAGGTATAACTTTTCGAATTTTTAAGAAGTAGTGAATGCTTAAACAATAATCAACGCGCAACGTTAGTCCGAATGTACTTATATATAGAATAAAGGACTTTTTGTTTTTGATACTGACTTTCTCACGGTAAAATATCAGGTGAGCCCGAAGGTATTGAAAAGAAACTTTTTTAAACATTTGAAAAAGCTTATCTGAGTGGAAAATTGTGTTTTTAATATTTTAAATATAAACATGTCATAAAAAATGTGTTTTACAGGTGTAAATCACTTTTTAAAATTTCATAACAAACAATAGGTGAGCTTGGGTATTTGAAATGCATTGTTTTGAATACAACTTATTTATAATGATTGTAAAATTTATATTTCTATATAAACATCTTAAGAAAACACATGATAAAAAGTAATGGAATTTTTGTTATAAAAGTTGTTAAAAAATAGTTGTTTCTTAATTCCATTATCATTTAAAGTTGAACATCAAAGTCAATATTGAGAGCAAAATTTACACTTAACCTGAACAATCCGAGACTTTTCTGCAACCTAAGGGAAAACAAAATACTCAAAAAGCAGACATCGCATATTTCAAGGACTCAATCTCAAAATGAAACTTCTGGAAAGGTAAATTGATGCAGTAAACTGTTAAAAAGCCACACATTTACAACCTACATATGTTTAAGAATGAGTATACTGAAAATGGAATTATTAAATAGTTAAAAGGATCAATCATAGTGAACATTAGTTAAAGGATTTGTTTTTATTTACGCTTGTAAATAAAATAACAAGTTTTATATATAAAATTTGTAATCCGCAAATAATCATACAAATGTAATCAAAAAGTAATCTAAAAGTAATCATGATTTCACCTGTTTTCTGCATTGTGATCGATTACATTACGATTGATTGTAATCAGAAAATGCATGATTACTGATTATATGTGATTACACTGCAAAATGTAATCGATTACGATTACTGATTACGATTACCCCATGTCTGCATCACGGTACACATCTACATGTATTCATCCAACAAGTTAAACACTCATTCTCAGGAAATCGGGGCCAATACTTGATTTGTTGCCCCTGTAGATATTTTAAGCCTTGTCTACTTTAAAATGTCTAAAAAAATATGTTTTTGAAAATCCAGGGAGATATCTAGCTGAAACTAACATAATTTCTACGTAGAAAAATATCAAAATTACTCCAGCCTTTCACAAAAACGTATTATTTTGAGTAAAACGAATGTCCCTGATGGTAAAGATATTTTTTTCTGTTGAGTATTCGACTTGAAAAGCTTGCAAAACATGTGCTTAAGTTGTCTTTTCCGATCTATCACTATTCTGCCAGTACACATTTATGTCATTTTTAGTAATTTGTCATAAAAAAAAACCAACACAGTTTTGAGATTATATGTCACTATTTCTTTGACCAGATACGTTACCAACTTTTAATTAGACTCTTCATTTATCTAAAGGTCAATTGAAAGAATAATTATGTTGCTTTTGAAGTGTTAGTCCATAGTTGTAACCAAAAACAAAATTATTTAATGTGTATTTATATCGATTTAGAAAATTGATAAGCTACTAAACTAAGAAATGGCTTTCGTACGTTAATTTTGAACAGATACGTTACTATGGAATCATTTGAATAAAAATAAACCACTTGCACGGGATCTATTTAACTGCGTAAGTATTTTTTTTTTTTACATATTTTATCTTCCTTTTATGTTATTAGAAAAATATTTGAAATAAAAGACCAAGAATATTTTGTTAAACAGATACGATACAAATGTTTCGATAAATGATGAAATATCGGTACCATTTCGGAATTCAGACATATGAGCTTTCTGCCTTAATACATTTTTGTTTTGTTTAATGATCAATGAATATTATCATCAATACAACAAGTTATGAGCTGCAATTTTTGAAGGCATATAAAGGACAACGTCAAATTATGTAATTGTACTGCTTTTAACTGGATATTTTAATATATTTTTCGCTAATATATTAAATAAGACATTTTAACACGTAGATAAGAATTAGACATTTCAATTTTGTACCTACAGGATAAAAATAATGTTAAAGTATTGTAACTCAGGGTGCAAACATTAAGTAACGTATTTGTTTCCTATGGTCACGTATTTGTTGCATGCCTTGAAGAGATTCGTTACATCTAATATTTCATTGGTTTCATTCGAGTTTTAAGCGTTACGCTCACTTCTTTGATTTCAAATATCATATATCTAAAGTTTATTTATAATTAATAGTTCCAGTACCGATATAACAGAGTTTTCAATACCAAAGTCGTTTTCTCAACAGATACGTGATCTGTTCATTTTCAAGTTGAAAAAAAATAAGATTTATAAACAGTTGAAAAAAATATGAAATTAACAAGAGCAGTTGTTGATAATTGATATTTCAACATATTTGGATTAATATCTTGATACATTTTTTTTTATTAAGAACAACTAATTGTTATTTTTTTTGTCTTCACAGTTGTATTTGATCAAGCTATGGATTCAAGAACAATTCATAAACTTTTCAGAGTCTATCACAAAAATTTATGACTATTAATAGAATCTTAGGTAACTCTAAAATAGTTTTTGAGGACAAAATTGAATCACTGACACTATATGAAAGTTCGTTTGCTAAAGAAATAAAACATGACGGTAACGTATCTGTTATGTGGAAAACAGTGACCCGTAGTCTTGACATCGATATTTTCACAGTAAGAGCTAAGATCAACCACTTTGGAATCTTTCAAATCATACGAATCATTTGTGCGTTATTATAAGTTGGTTTACACAAATTTATTTTCCAAGTATAATTTTGGCAAATGGTCTCAATTTGAGGAGAATTAGTGTAAAGTCCTATTATATACCTATATGGAGTTTTTTTTAAAGGTATCAAATTTCAATGAAATGTGTTTTAATGCATAAAATCACGACCTGCGTAAATTATTTACCTTAATTAAAGGGGCATTAGCTAAATGTACGAGATATGAAAAAATGAGAATATGATTATTTTTTGTTTCAATCATTGATAAAGATGAAATAGTGAAATAATAATTTGCTTTTAGCAGCCAATTTGATTCAATTTTGTCAAAATAAGCAGAGAAACATCGCTGATGAATTATTCACTTGCAAGTGAATAATTTGACATCATTGAAGCCGTATTCATGTGACCTTCAATTTAACCCATTAGCTAGAGATTGGTTGCGCATGTATAAGTCGTGTTCAGCCATTAAAAGGAAAAGAATATCAACATTGAAAGTGAAACAAAGGTGAACAATTTCGTTGATTGATTCGATCCACAAAAAAAATCTATCTTATACAGGTAAAAACGATAATTAACTAATTTTTTAATCTATAACATGAAATCAAACAGACCTAGAAAAATCCAATTGCACGAGGTCGCTTTCTATTTCTATTTATGATTATGTTTATATCGGGTTATGTGACCGTCGGCAGTCTTCGGAGGTCATCTCGATAGTTAATTAGATGGCGTCTAGACTAACATACACACGAAATTCTGATATATTTAATAGAGTACATGCATTGTTAACTGTTTATTTCAGACTTATTTTGTTTTAGTATGTTATAAATCCAAAATGAGAATTTGAGTCAAATCGGGGAACACGAATTTGACAGCTAATGCCCCTTTAAGTAACGGCTAGTCTATCAAAAGGTTTATATAATGAAATTTAGAACGAGGAACTTTAGAGGAAACTAATTGATTGAAATTGCAATTACATGTAGATGCTTATTTTGTTTTGATTTAAATTCTCATGAAAATAGCCTGATAAGTTTTATTTAAATAAAAAAATATTAAGAATATGAAAAAGTAAAGTCTTTGGTAACAAAAGTCGAACGGTAAATAATAACAATACTGGTTTCGAATTTTGTACCCGGAATGAAAGAGATCCATACACTAATACACAAGTTATTGTCTTGAAACAAGAAAAAAATGCTTGTTTTGGTCCCTAGTTCCTAAACAGGAATGACAATAACCCAGAAATCAATTCCAACCTTCCGTTTGTGGTATGGAACCTTCTGCTACAATTTCATAGAGATCCATACTCTTATACTCACGTTATTGTCGGGAAACCAAATGTCTTCGGACGACAACGTCGACGACGCTGACAACGTCATAACATTATACGAACGCAAACATTTTTGCGTACATATACTAGGGAAATTGACCTTAAATCTTTTAAGAAGGACACTATCATATGTAGCCTCATAATCATATCACTCATTTTAATATAATAGCAAAGTTAACATTGTTGGTCAATCATACGGTAGTTGAATGGAAATTGCAACCATAGAGAAAGTTTAAGTGATTTTTGCTGTGAAGAATTATCTTCATCTGGTGCTATAATGGTACCGTTAATATTATAACTTCCAACGGGTTGATACATGTACCTCTGCAGATGAACTGTTAATCCCCATGGGTATGAACAACCCACTAGCTCAGTATTTCCTAACTGACTTAAAATTTGCTGTTATAAATCTAAGAAAATTATCTAAAATTAGAGAAAGCATTTTTCTAATGCATGATGGGACCCTAATGCATAGCTCTAGGAATTAGATTTTCATTTTGGTCCTTTCTTGCTAAAACAACCCTTCAAATTTTGTATAAGGGTTTGGATTTTCAAATATTTTAGCATCAGTGAGGAGGCATAAATTGTCGAAATGTGCATATGGGGAAATAAAATCGATACCGATAATGTTATTGATCTTAATTGTGAAGCTACAAACTAAAGCATGAAGTTCATATTGAATTTTGTGAAAAGTAAAGGTGCGTTTTGATTATAATGTTAATTATGTCCTATGACCCATGACAATTAAACCCTAAAGTGAAGTCAATACTGCACATGAACAGATGAGGCCTATGAAAACATTTATAAATTTAAAAAAAAATAATTATTGAGATAAACATGTTAGTAAATGGTGGAATATTGAAAGTCCTCACATATACAATAACTTACAATTTCCAAGTTCGACTGTATACGGACTTGACGTTGAAACTCCATAACTACATGTCCAATCACCTCCATCCCTTGAGTGATTATAATTACTGATGGTCATTTCAGTGGATGTTCCTGATTGAGTCGGTGTGGTATAGCCTGATATTGATGTACCACATGATATAGTAGTGCAACCACCTTTATTAATACCGTTCAAGTAGAAAAGGACGGCACTAGCGAAATCAGTTGTTTTACAAGTCAGTTGCAACGTTGTTCCAGGTTCAATGCATGCCGATGTTACTGTCAGATTCTGTGACGCTTAAATTGAAATATAAAATTGTATAGTTTATCAAATGTTTAAAATGTCTGATCTATTGTGCCATAAAAAGATCAAATAAAACACTTTATACATTGTATGCGTCCTAAGGGCTTATATATACACTGGAATTATGTATTATCAATTAAAGGATATTGACATGACTGGATGGTAAGTTTGATTACCATGCTGTCACATCAAATTTGTTTTTGAGTAAAGGTTTCATCTATCCCAATTTGAAAAATAAAACAAATGCATTCACTTTTAAATCATATTCATCCATCCCAATCTGCTGCAAATTACTGAGTGTAGGTTGTATTTGATATAATAATTATACCTTCTGTTTAATGTGCTTTGTTAATAGGAGGAAAGAATTGCCCAAAGAGTAAACAAGTCTTAAATAACTTAAAATTTCGAGAAACAAGATGTACCAATATTTGAATCTTGTCTACGGCTATGCATTATTATCTGATTCCCCATTGCAAGCAACCTCCATTAGTCCTCTGATTTACTTGTTTGTCCCATCAAGTATTTGATTATCGTTTTGTCTGCCTTATATCCCTTGCTCACGTTGTCAAATCATCCCGTTCCAATAGCATGATGAGCTCATATCATTTTTGTGTGTATCTAGTTGTCTGCATCGTTTTTGCCCCAATTTTAAACTGCTTCCCTTGAAAGTTTTTTTTACACTTAAAACGTGGCTAGGAAGCTCATATCGAACAACCTATCGCTTACTTTTTGAATGACAACCACTAACTGATCATTGGCTGAAACATAGAACTTGTAGAAATGTATATTAAAATAAATGGGGAATGTGTCCATGGGACACAGATGATTGCCCCCGCTTGCATATCATACAAAGTTATAAAGGGACATAACTGAAGGACGGTATAAGTGACGCTACCCAAATTTGTACTTGATCTGCGTTTTGTGGTAATAAGCATTATGTATAAATTTCATAACATTTGGTTTAGACAAACTAAAGTTAGAGAATGGAAACGAATAATTCAGCATTTTTTTTCAATTTTAAACGGGCATAACTCTAGAAAGGTTAATGTGACACCATGTGACAAAATTCGACCTTAATCTGTACTTTGTGGTAATAAGCATTGTGTATAAGTTTTATAACAGTTGGTTGAGGCAAACAAAAGTTAAAGAATGGAAACGAAAAATTCAGCAATTTTTCCATTTTTAAAGGGGCTTTACTCTAGAACGGTTAAAGTGACGCCACCAAAATTCATACTTGATCTGTGTTTTGTGGTAATAAGCATTGTGTATAAGTTTCATAACATTTAGTTGACGCAAACTAAAGTTAGAGAATGGAAACCAACTTTGGGACTTACGGACGTATATAACTTAATGCCCCAGTCCGCTACGGCGAGGGCATAAAATCCATATTTGTTCCTCTCTCTGACTTTTTGTTTTTCTTTGTTGACATATTTGTTTGTTTTTATAGTGATTAAGATTATAACACAATGTTGACTGCCGAACCCCTATGTTTGACATTTTTACCTATTATATCTGTTTGTTTTGTTCACACATTGTTGTCAATATAATGAAAATTTTATGCGACTGTCATACAAATGAGAGGTTTAGCTAGCTATAAAACCGGGTTTAATCCACCATTTTCTACATCAGAAAATGCATGAACTAAGTCAGGAATATGACAGTTGTTATCCATTCGTTTGATGTTTTTGAGCTTTTGATTTTGCAATTTGATTCGGGACTTTCTGTTTTGAAATTTCCTCGGAGTTCGGTATTTTTGTTATTTTACTTTTTTATTATGCCGTCCTTTAATTTTAGTGTCTTCTTAAAGGTTGCAAAAGATCTTTGTGTATATCAAAAGATCAGTTGAACGACTTCCATAAGGCTTATGACCTTTTTGCTGATTGGATATTGCATCAATTCAGATGGCCAATGATGTGCTCTAACGTACTGACATTTGAAATCAGATCTTTTGATTGAAATTAATGCAAACAGTTAGCTCGCAACTGAATAATATTTTTGACCCAACATTGCATTCAATCAATTTAAAACATTTATCGCGGCATTCAAGACCGTATCTAATGATATGACAAGAGGAGCCAAATAAAATATGGTTGTAGGTGAAATTTTTAAGAAAGAAATAATTTGTTACAGCGTTGCGGTCATTTGTTATTACTTTAGGAAGCAGAAGTGTCGGATAGAACAACCGATATTAGGCAGGGAAACTGGTAATCCAAATTAAAATTGAAGTCGAACCCCCTGCCACGTGAGGGATTGGAACTCACAACCTTGTCAACGGATATTTGTTGCGCCCCTGGAAACTTTGTCATAAACAAACGCCATACTTGACGATCATATTGGAACACATATTATATACTCTATATCGTTTTTGTCAGTGGAAATATATTCCAGAATATTTCGTCCAATTGGAACTAATGTTATGAAGGAACTTATGTTTAATGACAATCTCAGTGTTGACATGCAAGTGACACAGTAGACAAACAACTTTGACCACTGGGCCACCGACTGCCCACGATATAAAAAACAAATGGTTCTTTTAAACTTTTTAGTTTCATTATTATTTTGAGATAACCCCTGTTGTTGACCTGTATGTCATATTCTTCCTATTCTTATTCGAAAGCCCGAGTTTGGTTAAAACATATTTGATTTGCATAAATACAAGTCTTCTCCTTTCAAAAAAATTAACTTTTAACAATACAATAAATAAGATCATGCATATATTAAATATTATTTCAACATTTGTATAAATTGGACAGAAAATAACAAAAAGAGGCAAAGAAGAAAAAAAGAAGCTTAACTAAGATAACGATGTGTGTGGTCCTGTTTTTACTACTTAAACAATAAGGAACCCTTTAATGAACCCAAAAACATGTTTATAGATATTTTCTGTTTGCTCCCGAGTAAGTAGACAACCACTCGAGGTTTATAGTTTTATATGTAATAGACAGTTATTAAGGAGTCAGCTAAGAACTTCTATACTTAGTTTGTCTCCATATAATGTACATTTAAAAAAGAAATAATGCGAAATTCTACAAAACACAACCTAGCGGCGATAAGGATTATATCAAATATATTCAATAAAGATCATAACTAAAGAAAGAGAAAGAACATCGATTTGGGGTGTATATCGTTCATCGTTACCATTGAGTTGTTAATATACAGTTTATACTTTCATTGGATTGGTGGTGGAATTAAATTAAATCAGAGTCCGATAGCTATCGTAAATCTCTAATTTTCCATACAATAATACTACGTTTCCTTTAAAAAAAAAATGGCGGCGATGATAGTTTATTTGATCATTACAAGCTATCTTTTAATATTGGACCTAAGACAAATATAATAATATATTACCTGTTTTACTAATAATCAAAGCAACCATTAGACAAAAGGGTTTGTAAACCATTTTCATCATCTAGAAAGAGAAAAATAAAACGAAACCATTTTGTTTAGGTTGTCAAAACCTTTAAATCAACAAAGCTAATGCCGCAAACCCTGGTAACTGAAGGCATTTAATCATATTCAGTTGCTATTGTGCACTCTACAGCAATTTTAAATAAAGTATAAACTTAAGAAATAATTCTTTCGTGCCATGCTTTATGCTCATTTCACATGGGTAGCCATTATATTTGTTAATATCTTTATACCGAGCGTAAGCGAGGTGTAAAATATTGAAAAATATAATGCCTACCCATGCTAAAATGAGCATAAAGCATGGCATGATAGAATTATTTCGATTCTGATAGGATATATTTAGAACTTTTTTACTTTGAAGCGGACCTATAATACACATACACCTTAACGCTATTATTCCGCTATTACTGGACATCACATAGGTTCCCGTAAAATTTTGAAGTCATAATACAAAATATCTGACGCCACAATGGAAAAGTGATTGTTATATGACATCAATAGTTAGGCGGCGCAGATTCTCGGGTCAACAGGCGCAGATTCTCGGGTCAACCGGCGCAGATTAGCGATCAGATGTATCCAAAAGGCAGCAATTTTGATCTGATGAACCAAAAACGTTATAGAAAATCAACAGTTGAACGATAAAAAAAATAACATATATAGATAACTTACTTTTAGAATGATTTTATTTAGTTTTCTAGCGAGCAACACCAATAAAACTGTCCATTCTGACCTGAAATTTCAATTGTGACGTCAATCACGTGCAGCCCATGTTTTATTGTAATTAGAACATGGCTTTGTTTCCAAAGCGAAAGAAGGACGTCATATAAGAATGCTATATAGAAAATAGGTGTAAATATTATAGATACAATGAACAAGCGTTGATTCTTGTAAAAGAAACCATGAGCCCGGATGGCCGAATGGTTTGTTTTTCATGAATCAATGCTTATCCATTGTATCTATAACTTAAACTATTGTGTTAATGTATTTTCAAAATTAAAGCCTTTTCTTAATTAGAAGGTATTGTAAGTGAGTTTAAATAACCATGTTATCATGTTCATCGATGCATCAATAAAGCTAAGTTCACAATTAATTGGTTAGAGAAATACAAATATAACACAACACGTCTGTCTTTAAATTATCTGGCATCTGAATATCCGTGTTTACAAAATAAGATATATTGGAACTTATTTCTAAGTATATATAATAGTTATGCTACCAAAATTTCTAGCAAGAAGCCTAATTCTAGGCACATCACGATTTACTCGCATAAGAATTTGCGGATAAACATTTGTAAAATTATGTAGTAAAACAGATGAAATCATACTATAATTATAAAACAAAAATGAACAAATTGAATGTAATCATTTTCGTTTCAAATATGTGAAATAGCCAATAATAATCCAAAATAAACGGTAAATCCGCTATTATTATAAAAATATCCACAATAACATACAAAATAATAAAAACTAAAGAATATGGACAACAAAGAGAATACACAGATTCGAACCTAAACCGACAAGTCCCTAACTTTAACTTGACTCTTTAACTCGTTGATCTTAACCATGATAACCTTAAGGCTACCAACTTATACTATACGATTGCGAATTATGTATATATAAAGGTACAAGCTTGTGTGTCCGATGTACCGATGTGTATCATATGTTCATTTATAAAAACGCCTAAAAAGTGTACACAACAACACCAATAACAAAAAAAGGAGCTATAAATGTAATTATTTATAAATATTTCGGATAACAGATATCCTTCATCAGTAAATATGATATGTTCATTTATATATATATATAATAGACATCTAAATTGCAACCCATTGGTAGTCGAGAGGTTTCGTCGTTGTTTTGATGTCAGTCACACATAACAGATTTCAATGAGGGGTTCGATTCCCAGTGATGGCATATAAAAATTACCAAAAATACAGGTAATTTTTTAAATTAATTCCATTAGTGAACAGAAATCAGTAAATTAGCCACTTCAAACTTAGGCACACAAAGGAAACAATTAAATATAATTTGTTGAGTCCATTTCAGCGACAGATTTAGGAAGCGTTGATTCTAGAAAAAAGAATCCACGGTAAATGAATGGGCTGACGTCACGACAATGGTTTAAATTCTAAAAAGAAAACGCAAGTTGTTGAAACAAATATAATTACTTCTGATCATAAATATTTTTAGTTAGAATGATTTTTAATCTCACTACAAAGCAGTAAAAGTCTGAAATGGCCTATATCTGTACTCGACTGTACTGATTTTTACTCGACCAGTCTGATTTGGTCTTAATTTTACTCGACATTACTCGACCCCAATATGTAACCATAGTTTTCTCGTTTGAATTGTTTTACATTTGTCATTTCGGGGCCTTTTATAGCAGACTATGCGGTATGGGCTTTGCTCATTGTTGAAGGCCGTACGGAACCCTATAGTTGTTAATTTTGTGTCATTTGTGTCTCTTGTGAAGACTTGTTTCATTGGCAATCATACCACAACTTCTTTTTTATATAGACTGAACTGATTTATACTTTGTCATTGAAAATAGTCTAAACTATTACTCGACCAGTCTGAAACAGTCTTTACCAATTTTCGACAATTACTTGATTAGTTCTCGACCTATTTTTTAATAAAATTGAGAATGGAAATAGGGATTTTCTATATTTTAAGTCTGAACCATACTTGACCAAAGGTCTAAACGAAATTAGGAAAAAGAGTCACAGGAAAAAAAGTCACGAGGAGAAAGTCACAGGAAAAAGTCACAATATATATTTGGTATGAATTCCTACATATATACTTTGTATGGAAATGGTCACATGGCGACATATATATAGACTCGTTTCAGTTGAAGAAAAAATTTCTAAACAAATGCCCAAATATGGAAGTCACATGACTTCCATTGTTGTCTTTAGAATTGGGGTCAAACCGGGGTCAGCTTTCCAACTGCAAAACTTTTAAGCACTATAAAAGGAATTGTAACAAATACATGAGCAAAACGAAATCAAAGTTATAGGACATTAGTCAACATAATAGGAACAAATAATCAAGTAAATCACAAAATAAGTCGACATGAAACAAGAATAAAAGCACTGTTCGTCATTAAATGTACACATCAAAGATACTTTACATTAATGAATATAATATATATATCCATCAAAGTTTATCACAAAATTAGTCTACTAGTATGTGCAACAATAATCTAAGCACTGTAGTTTGTCATCAAGAAAATGTACACATTTCTGAACATTAATGAATATAATGTATATATAAATATAAGAGTTTATCACAAAATTAGTCTATGTGAAGTAAGTGTGATGCAGCATCTGCGTACTGTACAAGAGAAAGTTCACCATTCTGTAGTCTAGTCTTGAGTCTTTAGTGTTGCAAGTTTGTCATCACTTTGTTTTTCTTGGTACACGCTTCCCTTCTGCTGCATATTTGACCAATTTCTTTAACTTGTTGTGTCAGCCCTCTAGATGATTTGTAGTTCTTGGGCCATCTGTTGCTTAGTGGTTCCAGAGACTAGTCTGTAAATGCTAGTGTTTGAATGTTTATATTAGCGTCGTCGATTTTTTCTAAAGCGTTAAACCATACATCTTCGACGGTGTCAGTTGGCAGTAATGTTAAAACAGCTGCTCTACGGACTAGTTGGTGGATACTGTCATTTTTCCTTGTATGCTGTTTGTAGACCATGAGACTGAGTATTGCGCCAAATACATTGGATGTAGTGGGAAAAGCATCTTTTAATGTTGATTTGTGGGAAAACTGAGTATTCTACGTTCCGAATGGCTGTTTCGTAGTTTAGGAATAATATTGTTGGTTGTAGTTGGATATTTCGTTGATATGTCTATGAGTAGAATGAGGAGTTGTGTATACACCAGTTGACTTTTTCCCTGATAGAAGACTGTAAACTAAGGGATACATTTGTACATGGTTCTGTCTCTTATGGCGTGGAAGGTGTAGAGTTGATGGAATACAGTTGGACTAGAGTAAAATGTTCCATCAGCGTAATAAGTATCTGCTGCTGCTAAATGGGATAAATTGTCTCTCTGGTACTGAATATTAAAACGCGTCCATGACTGTTGTCATCTGAGAGTAAGAATGGTTGAGCGTGGATGGTTTTAGTCCATTTACCTTCCAGTGCAATTTCTGCTGCTGAAGTTTGCAATGCAGGAATGTGTTTCGCGTCTTAGGTGGTAAATGCTGGTTTTACATGACTGAAATATTGGTATATTCTGTACTAATTGTTGTGTGGCTTCATTCCATTCTGGATTACGCAACCTGACTAATTCTTCCTCATAAAAAGTTGGTATTGCTGTAAGTTCCTCTTTGGAACGGTCTTTTTTACGTCTTAGTATTTCATCAACTTGCAGCTGCATTCTGTCAGACCGTTTAGTTGGTTGTGGTTTCGTGATAGATACTTTAGTGGGAAAGTTATTGGATGTGTTGTGACTGGGCAATTCCGAGAAGAACATTTCTAGTAACATCTCTCGTCCGTCTTGATTTTATCTGTAACTTGGAACCATTGTGTACTAGGTTTTGATTACCAAGTCTGTTTGTTACAAAACTTATCTCTAATTGTGCATTAGCCATTTTGAACTAAGACTGATTTCAGAAATGAGGATGTGGATATTTAAAGGTCTGTTCACAAGGGGTTCAGCTTTTGACATTGAGCATGCTTTTGATCTAATTCTGTAGCTTAATTGGATGAGCAGTGTTAAAAAAAGATCCAAATTAACAACTAGGCTTGGTCTATTTCACTTTGATCAACTTTATACTTTTGTAGCATTTATTCCAGCATCACTTTAATTAGAACATAGTTAAAATTAGTAAAAAAAAAATTTAAAACACCTTATACCATATCTATTGTTCTTTGTTTGTAGGAATAGAAGGAATATGTATCTATAAAATGTAGGAATAGCAGGAAGACACCATATATATATAGGAAAAAATTCCAAATATATATTTTGTATGGAAATGGTCATAGATGTTGTTTACC